TACTCAACTAAAATTTAATTCTTTTATAAAAATAATCATATCCTTTTCACTAATATGAAAACGTTAACATTGTCTTCATAAATGATAAAATTATATGACTACTAAACGATTCCTTCGAAATAAACTGATTTCTGGTTTATGATCATCCTGTGTCTGATATGTACACTTTTTGTTTTGTCTGTTTTTTGAGACAGGGTTTTTCTGTGTAGCTCTGGCTGTCCTGGAACTCACTCTGTAAACCAGGCTGGCCTCGAACTCAGATATCTGCCTGTCTCTGCCTCCTGAGTACTGGGACTAAAGGCATGCATCACCATGCCTGGCCTTACACACTTATTTTATAGAATTATATATACACACAGAAAATATTCTCAGGTGAAAGGGGGTTTTGAGTGAGGTGAGCTTGAGAAATGCTGCTTTACCCTGGCTATGAACAGTTTCTCCCTCCTGGTTCACTTAACTCCACTGCACACAACTGATTTAGACAAAAAAGCTTCTTGCAAACTATTGGTCCATGCACTGCTCAAAGTCTGACTGCTAGAGCATAACACCCACAGTACCGAGATGGAGTTAGGAAGTTGTGTGTAACAAAGGAAGTTATGTAGCTCTGGGGACCAGAGGCTTAATATCAGACAGCCATCATTGCTACAGAGCTCGCTGCCACACGGTGGAAGGAGAGCACCAACTCCCACAAGCTGCCCTCTGACCTCCACATGTGTGATGGGCAAGGATGTGCCCCCTCCCCCCCCCACAAATAAATGAAATAAAAGTTTAAGTAACCATCATAAAAACTATTTTCAGTACCGTTTTCTTCACTGAATGCCACAAACTCTGGTGGCCTTCTACAGACCAGGCAGTGGGCACACAAAAGAAAAGCATAAAGTATGGGAAGACGGCAAGAGGACCCGAGTTTGGAGCCCCAGCACCCACATAAAAAGCCCGGTTGGGCAGTGCACGCCAATAATCCCAGCAGGGTGGAAGCAGAGACGAGAGGACTCCCAAGGCTTTCCAGCCAGCTACTTGAGCTGAATTAGTGAGTGTCAGGTCCAGTGAGAAACCCTGTTTCAAAATAAGGTGGGGATCTGGGCAGTGGTGTGCACACCTTTATTTCCAGCACTCAGGAAGCAGAGGCAAGTGGATCTCTGTGAGTTCAAGGACAGCCTGGTCTACAGAGTGAGTTCCAGAACAGCCAGAGCCTCACAGAGAAACCTTGTCTCTAAAGACAAAACAAAACCAAAAAAAGGAGGAGAGTCACAGAGACAGACATTGGCCACCAACCTCTGTCCTCAACGTACATACACATGCAGATTAACACACAAGCATACAACAGACACACGTGCACAAAAGTAAAGAAATAAGTAAAAATAGTCTCTCACAAGTATGGTAGCCACTGCAATCCCAGAACTCTAGAGGCTGAAGCAGGAGGATCATGTATTTGAGATTAGTTTCTGTTACACAGTGAGACCCTCCTTCAACAACAACAACAACAACGAAAACCTTAAAGCCCACAGGAAGGATAAAGCAACCCATAATTTATATCCACTGTAGCAGAAGTAGCTACAGAAAGGAGGGGGCTTTGGCACAAGTGGAGGGAAGTGAGGTAATGGTTGGGGTGAGAACCAGATGGCGGTAGGGAGTCATCGGAGGGGGTTATCAGCGGAGTTTTCATGGTGAAGGTGCTTAGAACTGAGTCTACTGGGGAGGAGAGGGTGAGGCGTTAGGAAAGACGTGGAAGTGTGAGATGCAATATTAGATTATAGAAAGTACAAACAGAATTTTTTTAAATTATGCTCTACCAGAAGCCCAAGACATTTCAACAGCTGTGGTTGCTTAAAACTTTGATATTTTAACCTCTATACACTCCTAATACAGAGCAAGAAAACACCACCTAGAAGCTAAGTCTCTGTGAACCCTCACCATCCGAAACATGGAAAAGGACTCAAAGAATGGCTACCACAAAAATCCATGGACTGAACTAAGCAACAGAAGTCAGAAGCAAGAAGATTGCATAATAAGGGATGATTTAGTGCAGGGACATTTTTAAATCTCCTATAAGAGCAAAATATAGACCAAATGTCCGGTAGTCTATGGAAAGCTGGAGGCACTGGGATAGTTGTCTGTTCGCATCTTGTTTATAAAACAGGAAGCTGTATAAAGAACATACACACTTGGGACTGGAGAGATGTCTCAGCAGTTACGAGCACAAGCTGCTCTCTCAGAGGACCCTGGTTCTGTTCCAAGCACCCCTTTGGTGGTGCACAACCACCTGTAACTCCAGTTCCAGGGCACCCAATACCCTCTTCTGACCTCCACGAGCACATGAGCACCAGGCATGCATGCGGTGCATATATATATATATATATATATATATATATATATATATATATACATACATACACGCAGACAAAACACACATACACATAAAATAAATAAATCTAAAAAACACACATTTAAAAGATCTTTCCATATGGTTAAAGTGAAGACTTTAGATTAAGTGAGAAACCCATCATGACTTCTAAAAGTCACCCTTGTGAATGATCAATTCTCATAACCACGCCAGACGAAAGAGATGCTATTGTAGCGTTAGTCACTGATAGCCGTGCAACATTAGTGACACCAGCCTTGGGGTGGGAAATATCAGTCACTGACCGTGAGGAAATAAATGCTATAACTTTTGATTTGTTAGTCTAACTCTTCAAATTTCCATGGCAGATTCCTTTTTTTGTGAAGAGATAGCGACAGTTCAAGATTTCTATTTTAAAGGCTTATTTCATCTGAGGTCTTCACACAGAGAAATTTTCCCAAAAATATGTGTTGGTGAATGCAAAGATAAATGAATGAAAGAATGACTTTATCTACTGAAGGAACGACAGGGCAGTCTTGTGTTTCACAATAACTGTAGCATGTTACTTTGACCACCAAATTAGGCAGAAACAAAGGTATTTCATGAGGCTTTTCATTTCTTACATTAGTAAGAGGGGGGTGATGCATGTCAAATCTCTGTAACACCAAATATCAAATTAGCACAAAGTGTTTTATTTTAAATATCAAAAACATGAGCGAATGTGGTGCTGCACGTCCCATAATCTCGTCACTCAGGAGGCAAAGCAGGAGGAGCCACGAGCTGGCGCGTGCAAGACTGACCCCGCACTGGCTCAACAAACAAGCAAAATTGCCAGATTAGTCTAATTAGTGGAGGATTTTTAAAGTTATTTTACTGCATCAGCTATTATAGCCTCAAGGAGCTAACATTAAAATGGCCAAGCTTACCTTATTAACCTTTTAATTTTATTTTTATTTAAATGCTTAAGTTGTATATTAAATAGACTATATGACATCTATCTCGATGTATCAATTTTAATCTAGTCATTCAAACTTATAACTTCTTTAGATCACTAACTTATACTCTATACATTCTTTTGCCACGTCTACAAATGTTGAATTATACAAGTTTCCATTACTTTCTCCTTCGGGAAGTCTTCACTGGTCTCACTGTAAAGCCTGGTAGGACACCCATGTTCTAAAATACGTTTTTTAGCTTAGTGCCTGTATTTCACCTTGAATAAGTAATGAGAAAATAGCATTTGCACAGAAACACTACAGCTGTGGGTTTCCGTTATTCTTAATGAACGGCACAGTTAGGACTAGGAAAATGGTGTTGGAGAACTGACTAGCAACTTCAGGAAAGAGATTATTTGTAATAACTTAGGCATAAGAGCCTGTTTTAAAAATAAAATTCCCCATAGTATACACAATACCAACTTTTTTTCTCTCTTCTTGGATGAGGAAACTTTTACATGTAAAAATTAAACTTCATGGGTCATTATTTAAATGTCAAAAAACTTTAAAGCTATTTTTCAAACCTTGACAATTAAAAACATTAGAAGCATATAGATTTCTTAAGAAGAGAAAAGGTTTGAAGCATCATCCAACAGTAGGCATTTCAGTTTCTGTTCACTGAATTACCATTTGCCGTTATATTGAGAGAAGAAATATGCTTACATGAGTAGTAGTAGTAGAAAGAGGAGGAGGAGGAGGAGAAGGCATGCCAGGTACCCATGCACAAACTGAGAACTGAGGGCTGTGTTGCGCTCAGTCACATTGTGAAAAGCTTTAGCATATGTAACCGTGTCCCGAACCAGCTGTCACATTTCATAGCTTCACGCACCCTAGAACTAAGTGAAGATGCCAAGGATCAAGGCTCCTATTTTAAAACTTCTTCAACCATTATGAACTATCTGATATTCATAATATTTATCAGATGACCATTTTAATAAGTGTCAACATCTCTATTTTTTAATGAACGTACTGTTCAACTTCTGATTTTCTAAATACCGCCTCTCCTCCTTCCCCCCCAAAATTGAGCCACAGCTTTCATCTTCAGAGTTTTAGAAACACTTGTTGAAAATGTGAAATCGCACTTATCTTAAGGAAGTTCATACTGCGGAGCTTCCGAGAAACAAAGCTATAACTTCCGAAGTGAACTCAAATGAAATCCTTAATATGTGTCTTAGTTTTGTTTTGGGCTTTTCAAAAAGTTCATAGTGAAGACTGAGTTCCAAGTTAACTAACTACAAGTGCCAATCACTTTAGAATGAGCACTTTGCCCCTAAGACAAAATTCACAGAAAAATCACATTATAGAAAAGTAGCCACAAGTAACTTAGATTAGCATAAGTCCTATGGACACTGAGGTCGTGGTCTCAAGAAAAGACTATCACATCTCAGGCTTGGTGCCAAATTCAGAGGCGCTCCAAGAATGCTCTTCCTTTGAAGATTTAAGGCGACCCATTTACACCCATCGTCTCACAAACCCTAAGAAAGAAAACTGAAGAGAATTTAGCACTTTCCCAAGTTGGGGGAGGGGGTGTCTGAGAACCGACACGCATTTAAATTAACAAAAAGAAATAAATAGAAGCAAAACCGAGATTCAGAACGAAGCCCTGCCGCTGCGCGCACCGCTCCGTCTGCTCAAAGACCCTAGCGCCCTGGCGCGGAGCTCACCTTCCATGTCGCCGCGGGCCGCTCGGGCTGCAGCTCTCGTTCAGGCTCCGCGGCCGCTCCACGTGTTCCTTGCCGTGGGGACCCGCGCGGATGGCGGGAGATTCCCGGCGCGGGGAGGCCCGGGGATGGCTCGGTCGCGTCGGCGCAGATGCAGTTCGGGAACCGGCCAGCAGCCGGTGCGCGGGGTCACAGCGGCGCTGGCTGGCGGCCGCTTTAAAGCACGCTCGGAGCGCCGCGGGTTCCGCACCCTCAACCCACTTTTGAATGTCAAGCCTGAGGAACCCTGATCGCGTGGAAACAGTGCCTCAGTGATGACCTCGGGACGTCTACTTCAGACACACCCGGGATGAGGGCGCTGTCGCAGGGAGAGAGAGCGGTGTGCGCAAGCCCAACTTCCAGATTCACCTGACAGGGTCCGATCTGGAACTTTTTAGCTAGACTGGGGATGAGAGTCATTGAAAGCTATCAGTGAGAATTCACTTCATTACGTTTATTTATGGAGCTTCTTCCCACCCTTGGCTTTTCCATTTCAGTTGGAGTAGCCCACCACTGCAATCCCAGCCTTGAGAGACCGAGGCAGAAGGATTGTCATGAACTCCAGGCCAGCCTGGACTACAGTATGAGCCATTTTCTCAGAAAACAAACTTTAAAAGTGCTTGGCCTAGATTTATAAAGATAATTCAAAAGTACCTTGGCATTTACAGCACTCCAACTTTTAAACTTGAGGGACCAATTCTCTTATTTTCTGTCCTTTCTGAGAACTGGTTGATTTACCACTGTTGAAAAAGACAACTCTACTTATGTGTATTCATTTCCTAGGAATCTTCTTTCTTCTAAAGAGGGCACTTTACAAAAATACACAGATGATGTGTCAGAAAAGCAGAGAGTAGGGCAATGTGGGGTGGATGAAGGAAAACAAGGGAAGGTGTCGGTTCCCAGACAGACGTACCAACCAACATCCTTTCCCATCATCTACACTTAACAGAGGAAAACATCTGCCTGGAGGGAGGGGGGAGGGGAAATGACAACATGACAGTTTTCACAGCAGAGTGTTTCAGCACATCACAATGAAGTCTTAAGAGACAGTTCTCAGACGGGCACTTCTGAGGATGCTCAAAGGTGTTGAAGGAACCGATCCCACTTCCCACTGTCCTTCTTGCTAGAAAATAATATTGTTAGTTATACAAATATACATGAAGCAGGGCACGGGAGCGAACTCCTTCAATCCCAGCATTCAACACTCCGAGTTTGAGACCAGCCTGGTCTACAGATCAAGTTCTAGTACAGCCAGGACTGCATAATAGAGAGGCACTGTCTGAAAAAGACCAACACACACAGACAGACAGACAGACAGACACACACACAAAGCACACACTCACGTGAGATTTAAGGCTGAGAACTTGTACATCGGTCACCCATATTTTAAAAAATACTTATGAGTTAAGCACACTGGTATTTTATGAACCTAAGTTCATGTTAACTGGTGCCTTGGTATAGGCAACATGTGTGTGTGTGTGTGTGTGTGTGTGTGTGTGTATGCATGTGTACATAAACATAGTATATATCTATATATAATGCATATACACATACTATGTTTATGTACACATGCATTTATAACATACGAGTGGCTCAAATTGGCTTTAAGATCACAGGGCCACAGCAGCAGCACCACAGACATACGAGTTAGAGTTCTGCAGGAAAACACGGAGTTCAGAGAAATACTCTAAACACTAACGTTTAATTTTAGTACTGAAAGGGGAAATTTGTTGTTTGTTAGTTTCTAAAAGCAAAAATAGCACATCAAAAGTAGCAGAAGAGGAACTGTCAGCTTTCGCAGGGATGCTAAGGACGAATAGTTAATCGGTGGTTCTTAAGTTAGAAACTTTGGTGTTACAATGTTCTCTATATTTAACAGTAAACCATTACTGTGGGGCACACACTTATTCCTGACTACAGATACCTGAAGGGATAAGTTCAAAAGCAGATGCACACAATCATTTATGTAGCTACTCCACCCTCAGGTAGGTGGAGCATGAATCTCCTATTTTAAGTGTAAGGAACACATAGTGACATCCTTCCAAATAGTGAAGTATGAAGAGGGAGGTGGTAACTTTATAATGGAGAAACCCGACAAACGCTCCTTCAGCCAGCTGAATACATTTACCATCGAAGTGCTAAAACATGGTATGATGTACTGGGAATGTCAGTTTACAGCTGCTGTCCTCACAGAACTCCATACTACCATGCAATAATGAGAAGAAACATCAAGCAAAGTCCAATAGAGAGGCTGTCTACAAAATACTTGACCATTTAAGGCTAAATCAGGATCAACAAAGCAGTCCTTAACTGTCAGAGTCAACAACAACCAAGAGAGAGAAAGAAGAGAAGAAAGAAAAAAAGAAAAGTCTGAGAAACTGTCAGTAACCCAGAGGAGCCTGAGGGGACAAGACAAATGTAATATGGACGCCTAAATGTGACTCTGGTCAGATAAACTAAGGTGAAGATTAAGGAAATATGAATAAAGCATAAAGTATGATTAATTAATTAAGCTAATTAATAATACTGTATCACAACAGGCATAGAGGCGCACATCTTTAATCTTGGGAGCATTGGGAGGTAGAAGCAGGTGGATCTCTGTGAGTTAAAGGCGAGCCTGGCCTACAAAGTGAGTTTCTGAACAGCCAAGGTTGTTGTTACACAGAGAAACCCTGCCTCAAAAAGAAATTAATAGAAAAAGAGGAGTGCTCGAGGATGCATCTGTCCCAAATATGAACATAACGAATATGTAATTTTTATGTTAGAATAGTCACTTGGGAGATTCATGATTTGTATAAAAATATGTCTCATTTCCAGAATTACTGACATCAGTCAAAAGTAGATGTCAAGAATAAAGAAAATCAACATAGATTTCACAAGTGCACCCACCTCATGTAGCTTTCCCATACACTAAATAAGAATTAAACTTTTTTTTTCTAGTTTTGCTGAGCATGATGCCACACACCTTTAATTCCAGCACTCAGAAGGCAGAGGCAAGCGGACCTCTGTGAGGCCAGTCAAGGATACACAGAGAGACCCTGTCTCAAAAATAAATAAAACATATAAAGTACAAAGCTCACTTTAAAAGAGTATGCACAATACAAGCCACAATTTTTTAATTGTGTATATATGAGAGGGATGGGGGTATGTATAGGTGAACGCAAGTGTCCATGGAGTCCAGAAGACGTCATTGGATCGCCTGGAGCTGGAGTTAGAGGCTGTTGCAAGCTGCCCAACAGGGTACTGGAACGAGGGCCCTCTAGAAAAGCAGATAAACTCTTAACCACTGAGCTATCTCTCCTGCCCCACTATTCTGTTTTCAAGACTCTTCTCATAGGAGTCGAACTTTAACACATAAAGTCTGTAAGAATCAGTTGCAACAGGTGGGGAGTTAACACATTGAACATTTGGAAAATGCCTTGATTAAATCTGAAATGAGGGGTGGCTCAGCAGTAGAGAGCATCAGCTGCTGTTCTAGACGACCCATGTTTGATTCCCAGCATCCAAATGCCAGCTGGCAACCATCTTTAACTCCAGCTCCAGAACCAACGCCCTTTGCTGGCCTCGGTGGGCAGTGCATGCCTATAGGGCACAGGCAGACAGACGTGCAAGCAAAACACTCATACACAGTTTTAACAGTTGAGAGTAAACCATGAGTCTAGACGTAGTAACTGACAATGGGTGGATCTGACTCATTGGATCACATTTCATGCTTGTGCTATATAGATCAAATTAACAGTGACTAAAAACGAAATGACTGACAAAGGCTGCTCCTGGACCAACTGAGACAGTCCAAATACTGACTTGGCTCAAAGAAAATAAAACTGAAAACCCTTGATCTCACCTCCAAGAACCATACTGCACCCTATCTGAACCTTGGGCTCTCTACCTACCAACCTACTCAAAACCACTACTGAGGATGGTGCCCTACTGCTAAGAAATAAACAACACACGGGGCCTTTCGGGTCACCTAAATAGTAGTCAAGATGGGACCACGCACGGTGCGGTTGACAATCAGCTCAGTGAAGGTCCTGGGTTTGGTCCCAGCGTGGGGCTGGTGAGTGGACCTTTGAAAGACTGTTTCGTACCTGCCTGATATAGACTTATCTTACACCAGCTGAGGAAAAGATCATATGCTCTTGTCCTTCGATGGGGCCCATTTTCTAAAGCAAAGTTACTTCCGAGTCAATTTGCATAAGGGGGTGTCCCTCTACATCATCTCGCACCCTCAGCTGAAAACTAAAGGTTCAGCTTGTCTCCACGTGGGAAGGTCTGGGAGCACCCTTTCCGGGCACTGAATGCTCTTCGAGATCTTGGTTTTGTGTGACGCTTTGACTGATCCGGCAACGCCAGTATTATGTCAGACCAGGGAGTTCCCGAGCTGGGCCCTCGCTCTTAGGAAAGTCTCACAAACTTCTCCCTTCTTCAGCTCCCCAGGCGATGGCACCCTCGGGCTGTTCGGGGCCAGCACGGTCCTAGGGACCCACTGTGTTCTCCCGTCGGTTTCTTCAACCCCTCGTCTGAGGAAATCTTGAGCTCCTTTCTTTTACCTACTCTTCACACGGCCGTGCCGAGGAAGAGCTAGGGCGCAGGAACACAGCACCCTAATACAGGTGCTAAACGCGCGGCAGCGACAGCGCTATGCGACTGCGCAGGCGCTGGGAGGCGGGGCTCCCCTTCCGCGCGCTCGCCCCGCCCCTCGCGCCGAGCCGGAACACGCATGCGCTCTCGGGCGCAGCCGCCCCCGTGGTAGCCACGGACCGGTAGGAGGAAATGCCCTCGGCGGTTTGCTTCGCTCTGTAGAGGAGCGATGGGGGGGGCGTTGGGCCCGGCCTGAGGTAGGAGGGAGCCCAGCTGTCGCCGCTAGTGCCTGAGCCGTGATGCCCGCGTGGGCCCTGTTCTCCGCGGTGCTCTGGTCTCTCGTAGGAGGTGGGGCTTGGCCCGCAGGCTCCTCCCCTACGTCCCACCTCTTCCGCGCCTCCCCTCGCCTGCTCCCTGCGGAACCCGGGGTCCTCTAAACACTAATAAGTCAGAGGTTTTCTTTCCTCCGCAGTTGGAACGCAACGTTCTTCCTTATTCAGTAAGAAAGGCTTTGTGTACGGCACGATAGAACAGCCAGGTAATGAGTGCCTCTTCCCACGCAAGGCCTGTCCCCAGAGCAGGGGGTGCCCTGCACCTGCGTAGGTTCTGCCCTGGAGGGGAAAGGGAGCGAGCCGGTGTGACGTCTGCTCTGAGTTCTGCAGTTCTGGGAGTTTGCAACATTTCGTCCTCAAAGCAACGCTAGTCTTACGTCCCTGTCTTCGTCGCAGTTCTAGGGATCTGATGCCACCTCTCTTCCAAATATTCCTGCGTTGTATTGGGATAGCCACTTAGCAGGGTGGACGTCCTTCTGCAAGACTTTTCTCTCAAGCTCCCACTCCAATGTTACCCTCTGTAGTTTAACTTTCCTACACTCTTCAGGAAAAATTAGTGAGCCAGCTATTTTGAGATAACTTTGAGCCACTTCACTGTGTTGTGTATAGACCATTTCCACATTGAAGGCCTTTCCCTTCCCTACACCGCAACTACACCACCGAATAGTACGATAGCCTTTATAGATTCAGACCCTGAAATATCTTGAGATCACGTACTGTCGCAGCTTCCACCAACTGAGTCAGTGGAGATCTCGACAGAACACCTTCCTAGTCATGGAACAACAGGAAGCGCAAGTGAAATACCAAGTTTTCAATTTTGAAATAGTTTGTCAGTCAAGCTCATGTCCTCTGAACATTAACTCCACAATCCCTTCAAACAATTATTGGACCTATTTATGAAATGTGTACGTTGTAAGGCACTTACGTTTTAATGGACTATTGCAGAATATATAAATATATACTGTTTATATATTTATATGTAAATTTATATTATAAATAATATACATAATTTATCTATCCCGACAAGGTACAATTTAAAGGCTTACTATGAGAAGCAAAAATGACTTCATTCTGAATAACAACTAGCATCCGACATGTTCTGACCACTTTTTAAGTACTGAAATCCAGAAAGAATTAATTGGTATTATTAGGACAAATAAATAGGAGTGTGTTTCTTTCTTTTGTGGTATAATATAGTTACTGTAAAAATTTATTTTGTCACAGTGAAAATATACGTAAAGTTACATCATAATAGCCCTATCCTTATTTGTATGGATGTTAATCGTGCTAATAAAGAAATAGTGGACCCCGCCTACCTATGGAATGGGCCAAATGAAAACACATTACAAGGTAAATTATTTTAATATATTTTAATGATGTGAACATTGTTTTTAAAAGTGCTGTCATTGTTGAAAAGAACAAATTCACAACATTTACCAAATTTATTTTATTTTTATGTGTATTTTTTTTTTGCTTGCATGTATGTATGTACTCTCGGAGAAGAGGGTATTGGATCCCATGGAACTAGAGTTTACTAATGGTTGTGAACCACCATGTAGATGGCTGGGAATAGAAGCCAGGTCCTCTGAAACAAATGCTCCTAAACACTGGACAATCTTTCCAGCCCCAATAAATTTAATTTTAACTATAATTAAATTTGCTCAACATTTAGATGAGTTGTAATTTTTTTGACTCTATGACTTAAGTTCTTCCTATGCAAAAACTAAAGTAGATCCAAAGGATGGCACAGGCCTGTGAGCGAAACACTCAAGAGGTTGCGACAGGAGGATTACAAGTTTAAAGGTAGCCTGAGCTAACCAAAGAGATAGGTTTTTTTATTATTTTTTTTCCTAGTGCTTGGAATTGAGTCCAGAGTCAGCCTCTTAGGCACTCTTCCACTGGGCTGGCCTGCTATGCTCAGGCGGTTATTTTGTTCCCTACTTCCCAAAGCTTTTCAACAGTTTTCATAAGCACTAACGTTTACCCATGAAACGCCAATGATGTGAGAGATTCAGTATGTAATTTTTCATGTTAGAAGAATACCTTAGGATATCAGCATTATTCATTTGTCTTATGTAAATATATATGTATACATACATATATAAATTATGAATTACTGACATGAATCTGTCAAAACTAGATACCAAGAAATAAATTAACAAAGATTTCAAAAGAGTATCCAGCGTATGTAACTTTTCCATAGAGTAATATGACAATTAAAGTTTTTTTCTTCTGGGTTACTGGGCGTGGTGCTACACTCCCTTAATTCCAGCACTCAGAAGGCAGAGGCAGGCAGATCTCTGAGTTCAAGGTCAGTCAGGGGCTGTACAGTGAGACCCTGTCTTAATTTTTTATTGGGCTCTTGAAGTTGAAATAGTTTTATTTTTTGGCATGTTTGTTTATAGCCCTGAGTTTACTGAATAATGATTAAGTTACCTGTTAAGTAACCAAGTAATTTCCTCTTTCTGATTAGGGAATCGCCAAATAAATATAACAAACACAGGAAAATTGGTGGTGAAAGATTTTATAGAGTCATTATCTGGACTTTACACGTGTACTCTTTCCTATAAGACTATCAAAGCAGAAACCCAGGAGGAAACCACAATAAAGAAGAGATATGACTTTATGATCTTTGGTAATATTTAATTATAATATAATATGATAATTATATAAGCACATGAGCTCTCTCCTCAGTTCCCCAGAAACATTCTTACATTTTAAGATTTATTATGTATATGTGTATGTGTGGGTTATGTGCCTGTGAGTGCAGGGACCGGCAGAGCCCCGGAGAGAGCATGTGACGGCATGGAGATGGAATGATAAGCAGGTGGGAGCCACCTGACGGGTGCTGGCACCTCAGCTCTCACCTATTGAGCTGTGTCTCCAGCGCCAATGTTTTCTTGATACTGTTAACTTCCCCGCGTTGCCACCCCACAGAGGCCAGGTCTTCTAAGTAGGTAGATATCAGATGACAGACTTTTTTCATTAAAATTATTAATTATATGTATTTCGTGAAGGGGCGCGGTGTGATCGGTAATAAAAGATCCGTCAGACTAGTTTAATACAAAATATACAGCTTTAATAAACAGAGGGAAGACTTACACCAGAATCCCAACGATCCGTCCGGACACAGGAGCCAGGCGAGAGAGATAGGGGAAGCACACTTGCCAGGTTTATTGGTAAACTTTTGCCTAAGGGCGACACGCCCCACGAACAGAATGTGATTGGCTGAACTCCCCTATCAATTTCGTAAACAGACTTATGGAGTATTCTATTAGCTAAGTAAAATTTCTAAGCTGACTTGAAAGATTAATGATGTTTGATATTACATGTTTTTGAAATTTTTTTAATAGCAGAGATTAACACAAGGCACAATTGTTTCCTTTTTCCAAAGCCTATCGGGAACCTGATTATTCTTATCACATGGCTGTGCGTTTTACCACAAAATCTTGTGTAGGAAGATACAATGACCTGCTCTTTAGAGTGCTGAAGAAAATCCTGGATAACTTAATCTCTGATTTGCTGTGCCATGTCATAGAACCATCATACAAGTGCCATTCTGTTAAAATTCCAGAGGGTGACTTCGTGTATGAGCTATTCATAGCCTTTCAAGGTGAAACAATTTTACAATGTTGATTTTATAACTTTAGTCGAAAACCATGATAGATTGTAAAATTAACTGTCATGTAAATGTGAGAGGTCTCATAAATGACAGGTTTGAAATGTTTGCTAATCACTAATACACACTAATGGCTGGTTGTGCTTTAAACATCAGCAGACTAGCTCTTTGCCTCCAAATACAATATTTATTGTTTGAAGTCAGTATCATTTTATTAACATAACCTTTAACTATGCAATTTTAGGAAAGACGTTTTATTGTTTTTTTATTCTTGATGACTTGAGAGGGAATACCCAAACCCAATCTATTTCCATTCTCATCTTGTAGTTACTTCCTCTAGCCCCCAGATGGAGTAAAGTCACAGTGCATGCTATTCAAACTATGTGCCTAACCTTACTATTCTGGTTAGAGCTGGCTTAACCGTACATATGTCTGCATACCAACCAAAGCATGTGGGGCTTTACTGGAGTGTGCGACACTCTTTAGAAGCTGGTGTGTACCTGTCCTGTTTTCCTCTCCAGTGAATCCTTTTGCACCAGGCTGGAAAAGTGTGTGCAACAACTCTTCCGACTGTGAAGATGCCACTAACCGTAACATCCTCAAGGTGAGCCCACATCCTGACGGGAAAGCCCTTGAGTGACCTAGAAAGATTTTGGTAAATGCTTTGTCTTATTAGTAGGAGTTCAAGGCCAGTCTGGGCTACATGAAAACCTATGTCAAAAGAAAAAAAATTCTTAAAGAATCCATCTCAGGATGTCCTCTGACTTCCACATGCAAACCATAGTATGCATGCACCCACATATGTATTTGTGATACTCATGCACACACAATATATGTATGCATATACACACACACACATGAAATACAACACTACTGCTCAAGTTTTTTAGTTGGTTGGTTAGTTTTTCAAGACAAGGTTTCTCTGTGGCTTTGGAGCCTGTCCTGGAACTAGCTCTTGTAGACCAGGCTGGCCTCAAACTCACAGAGACCCGCCTGCCTCTGCCTCCCGAGTGCCGGGATTAAAGGTGTGCACCACCACCGCCCAGCTAGCTTTTTTGTTTGTTTGTTTTGTTTTGTTTTTCGAGACAGGTTTCTCTGTAGCTTTGGAGCCTGGAACATTCTCTGTAGACCAGGCTGTCATCAAATTCACAGAGATCTGCCTGCCTCTGCCTCCCGAGTGCTGGGATTAAAGGCGTTGCCTGCTCAAGTTTTTAAAAGAATGATTAAAGTTTATTCCTTCTAAATTTTTAAAATCATATTTGTGACCCAGTGGTGGTAGTAGGACTTGCAGGTAGTAAGCCTGCAAGATGTAGGACTCTCAGCTACTTCTCCGGCACCATGTCTGCCTACATGCCACCATGTCCCACCGTAGTGATAATGTATTGAACCTCTGGAACTGTAAGGAAGTCATCCCAATTAAATGTCTTCTTTTCTAAGGATTGCTGTGGTCATGGTTTCCCTTCACAGCAATAGAAACCCTAACTAAAACAGTACCTCTGGAATATTAGATAGATCCCCAGGCTCATATTATTATGTGTTTCATTTATACCAGAAAGGTGACTCCCTGGTCTTTATTTTCTAAATAGTTAAGCATCAGCTTGAAGGAAAACCTCACAATCCGGTTACCATAGGTTAAATCTGTGGTGCTTCCAAAGTCACATTTATAGGAAATGCAGTAGTCATTCTCTCCACTGCTGGCTCCAGAGACTGCGGGAATAGTCAGAAAAATATCTTCAAGCCAGGCTGGGTGACGCACACTTTTAATCCCAGCACTCAGGAGGTAGAGGCAGGCGGTCTGCAGAGTTGAGTTCCAGGACAGCCAGGGCTACACAGGGAAGCCTTGTCTTGAAAAACAAGAACAGCCAAAAAGTGTCTTCACTCTGTTGTGTTCCCGAGTCTGTACCTATAGTGTGATGGTGTCTAAGTCCTCCTCAGTTAGGCTTAGTTATTATTACAGCGTGTCTCAGAGCCAGAATCACACAATCAGTTGTAATGCTAGTTAAAGCCTTGATTTCTATTTTGCTTTGATCTTTTAAAGTTTTATTTGAGTATTTTGTGTACATTAGTTTTGGCCTGCATGTAAGTCTGTGTGTCATATACATGCCTAATGCCTGAGAAGGCCAGAAAAAGTCATAGGATCATCTGGAATTGGAGTTACAGGCAGTTGTGAACTGCCATGTGGGTGCCACAAATTGAACCTATCTCCTCTGGAAAAGCATACCCTTAACTGCCGAGCCATCTCTCCATCTTGACTTTTTGTTTTTTTAATGATGTACAAAAGTTAGAGGTCATGTTTAATTTATGAACGAAAAAAACTGTTATAAACAAATCAAAGCAAGCTTGTATGTGTGCATGCGTGTGTGTGTGCGTGTGCATGTGTATAGGTCCATGGGGTGTGTGTAGGCTACAGTTCCACTTTTCAGGTGTCAATCTCAGGAACACTCTCTCCTCCTTTAAGACAGGGTCTCTTCTTGGTTAGGCTAGACTGTCTGTCTAGCACACCCCAAGAATTCTCCTGCCTCCACCTCCCCAGCACTGGGATTACAGGCAAGGGAAGTGCTTGGCCACTTGAGCCATTCCTAAAACAAGTTTTTATAACTGTTTTCCTTAACCACTTCCTGTATAAATTAACAGTAATTAGTGAAGTCAAAGCAAGACTCACTCTAGGTTTTAACATAGATGTTTCAGGATTTCATTTAATGCATGAGCAAGAAATATTTCTGCTACATTTTATGGCCTGTGATTCATGAGGACTTTGATTATTGAATTAGTAATTCTAGTTTTCTCTGGTATTTCTAAATCTCAGGCAAGAGATCGGATAGAAGAGTTTTTCCGGAGCCAGGCATACATTTTGCACCATCATGTTAATAAAACTATACCAGCGATGCACTTCGTGGACCACAGTTTTCAAGTAGTGCGCATAGATAACTGTCGGCCAGGCTTTGGGAAGAACGAAGGTCTGCACACCAACTGTGCTAGCTGTTGCGGTAATTATACAATATAAATTCCTAAATGTCTGTGTGTTCCAGAGAAAGATGGACAACCCACCTAGGGTTATTGAACCGGATCTTCTCATTGATCCTTTCGTAGAAAAGAGAAGTAAAAAACCTTGAAAGCCCATCTTTCTAAATCCCAATGCATATTTTTTGTACTGTTCTCTCTTAGATTGCAAAGCATTTCCATAGTGTTCTGACATACAATACAGTTCTGTGCAGGACAACCGAATGGTCCCGCCTGGGAAGCACAGAGCTAGGACACGAGGTACAAACTGCAGGCAGGCACTTATAAATGCGGCACAGAGACGGCGAAGACTGATAGAAGGGAAAACACAGTATTTATAGACTCTTGCCTGTAACAGGCTTTCTCAGACCACCAGCCCCCAAATGATGACACGGAGACTTATCGTTAGTTATGAGAGCTCAGCCTTATCTGATGCTCGTCCCACGACCTCTTATAGCTTATTATAACCTTCATCTATATATAGATGAAGATAATCTCTTCATCTATGTTTTGCTTTTTACCTTTCTTTCATTCTGTATGTCCTGCTCCATGTCTGACTGGCTGGTGACTGCCCAGCTGACTGGCCCCAGGCGTCTTCTTTCTCCCTCGGTGTCTTCTTTTATTCTCTCCAGAGCCTAGATTCCTCCTCCTACTTATTCTCTCTGCCCACCAACTCCACCTATCCCTCTACTGCCTAGCTATTGACCATTCAGCTTTTTATTAGACCAATCAGATGCCTTAGACAGGCAGAGCAACACAGCTGTACATTGTTAGACAAATGCAACATAAACAAGTGTAACACACCTTTACATAGTTAAAATAACATTCTGCAGCATAAACAAGTGTAACACACCTTTACATAGTTAAAGTAACATTCTGCAGTATAAACAAGTGTAACACATCTTTACATAGTTAAAGTAACATTCTGCAACACTCCCATTTTAAGATTATCACATTACAAAATTTGAGGTAATCTTCACAACTTAATTGGCTAAATAGGTATAGGTATCCTATATAAAAAGATGTAATATTGAAGATGCTTTTGTATTGTTGATTTGTGAACTATAGTGACTAACAGACAGCCTGCATTTTCTCTTGCAGTGGTCTGTAGTCCTGGTACGTTCAGTCCTGATGCCGATGTCACCTGTCAGATGTGTGTTTCTGTCCATAGCTACGGAGCTAAGTCTTGCCCATAAACTTCAAGCCCAGAGACGAAAGTGTGGTTACTTGCCTCTAAAGGTGGAGACAGATTTGTTCCCATCTGAGAGCATCGTAGACGCCTCCAGTACGATCAGTAAGAGCAAGACTCTGGGAACATGCGTTTAGAACAGCAGAAGAGAGCTGACATGGCACCGCTAAGAAGGGTTTAATTCAGAACCGGCTGTGTGCGAGGGGAAGTTAGTGTTAGTGGATGCTTGAAATGAAATGTGTTCTGTTGTCTATAAACTCAAACGTGCTTTGTACCTGGGATTAAGGTCAAAAAGAGAAGTGAAGTATAATAAAAAATTTCTATTTTCCATATATTAATTTGTTTGAAATTACTTCTATCAAGACATGCATAATACATTTTTTAATTTTGTTTTTTAATGTCAGGCAGTGATGGTGCATGTCTTTAATCCCAGCACTCTGGAGGCAGAGGCAGGTGGATCTGTGAGTTAAAGGCCAGCCTGGAATACAGAGCTGGTTCCAGGATGGGCCAGGGCTACACAGAGAAACCCTGTTTTGAAACCCCTCCCAAAAAAGTTTTTAGGCTTATTTTATTTTATGTGTATGGTTGTTTTTCCAACATGTATATTGTGCAACACATATGTGCTTGGTACCTTCAGAGACCAAAGGCAGTAGAGCCCCCAGAACTGGATACAGAACATTGTGAATCCTCTTGTGGGTCCTGGGAATCAAACCCAGGTTCTCGGGAAGATTGCCAGTGCTCTTAACTCCTGAGCCATCTCTCCAATACCCATTAGTACTTTTGAACTCGGAACTAAACAAGTTACTTTAGTCCCTTGGCTTTTATTTATTTAGTTAGTTGGTTTTTTTTTTTCAAGACAGGGTTTCTCTGTAGCTTTGGAGCCTGTACTGGAACTCACTCTGTAGACCAGGCGGGCCTCAAACTCACGGAGATCCTCCTGCCTCTGCCTCCCAAGTGCTGGGATTAAAGGCATGCGCCACCACCACCCGGCTTTTTATTTATTTTTGAGACTGGGTTACTCTGTGTAGTTTTGGAACCTGTTCTGAAACTCTCTCTGTAAACCAGGCTGGCCTCGAACTCACAGAGATCTGCCTGCCTCTGCCTCCCAAATTGATTTTAATTTTTTTAAGAGATTTATTTATTTATTACGTAGACAGTGTTCTGGCATGTATGCCCACACATCAGAAGAATGATGCAGGAAGAAAAACTGGGAGGACCCAGATGTGTGCTCTCTCTGTGTAGCTCCTGCCGAGCAGATAGGAAGTCCGACCTCCCACTCTTGTAGCGTGAGTTTCCCCTTATAACCATTAAAATATAATTGTTATTCTTGAGCTGGCCTGGTTATTTATTGTACCAACCTAATTTGCAACAGAAGAGGGCACCAAATCTTGTTATTGATGGTTGTGAGCCACCATGTGGTTACTGGGAATTGAACTCAGGACCTCTGGAAGAGCAATCAGTGCTCTTCTGAGCCATCTCTCCAGCCCTGATTTTAATTTTTAACAATAAATAGAATCATATTTAGTCTAGGCTTAGATTTACAGAAAATGAAACAAGAGATATTAACTCCACATCCCTCCGTGTACACTTGTCCTCCCCACACATTCCGTGGTAATCTCCGTAATCCATGGTTCACATGAAGGTTTCATTCTTCGTGTTAAAGGTTTGGGCAAAGGCGTAATAATGTGTTCACCATTTGATTTCACATAAAATGGTTTCACCACACAAAATCAATTCTCTTTCTGCCCCCTCCTTCCATCCTGACTCCTTGGCAACTCCTCATCATCTTTGTTTTTGTTCTGTTTTTCGAGACAGGGTTTCTCTGTGTAACAGCCCTAGCTATCTTGGAACTCACTCTGTAGATCAGGCTGGCCTTGAACTCACAAAGATCTTCCTGCCTCTGCTTCCCGAGTGTTAGGATTAAAGGTGTGTGTCACCACCCAGCTTCAGCCATCTTCTTATTGTCCTCCTAGTTTTACCTCTCCCTAAATGCCGTGTCGTTGGGGTTACATAATGCATTGCCTCTTCAGAGTGGCTTCTTTTCACTCGACACTATGCATTTTAGGTCCCTTTATGTTTTTATGACCTGGCAGCTTATTTTTATTGCTGAGTAGTTTCTTTCATGATATAAATACAGCTACCATGTACATCTGTGTGCCAATTTTTGTGGGGCATAGTTTTCAGCTGAGTTGAGTTAATGCTTAGAAAGTGGTTGCTGGCTAAGACAGAACGACATGTGTAGTTTTGTTAGAGGCAGGCATACTGCCAACCAGAGTCTATTACCGTTCCGTGATCTTGTTCCATCTCCTCACCAGCATTTGGTACTGTCAGTCTGGGGTGGGGAAGGAGTGCTCTAACATGGGGAGAGGGAGTTCCTTTTTGTTTTAACTCCCGGATTCTCTCGTGCCATCTGATACAGAGTGTCTTTTCGTGTGGTCACCTGCTCTCTGTTCCTGTCTGGTTATTCTTTGGTGTCCAGACTTTTTGTTGCTTTTTTAAATTGGACTCACTTTCTTCCTCTTGAGTTCAAGGATTTCTTTGTATGTTCTGGGTATGGAGTTTTAGATGTTTTTATAAAGACTTTCACTCTTTCTGGAATTTGTTGCTTCATTCCTTTCACACTTCAGCTCACAGAGCAGAACTTTTCATTTTAATAAATCTGCCTCATTGCCCACTTGTCTGTCCTTTGGTCAGTTCTGTGCATCTTGACTCGTGAGTACCAGTCACAGTCTAATCGGGGTATTTTTTCTTCAGTATTGTTAGTAATTCTGCACTTACTGATATGGCCATACAGTTTTCCTGTAGCCTGTTAATGTAATGAATTACATAAATTCAGGGAGATTACCATAAGTTCAAGACCAGCCTAGGCTACACATGCCTTCCAGGGCGGCCTGCGCTACAGAGTGAAGCTCTGTCTCAAACCTTTTCCCAACAGAATTTTCAAATGTTGGGTCAGGTTTGTGTATTTGACTAAATCCTTCCTAGTCACTGTATATAAATTTTCCTCCGGACACTTTATCTTTCCCAAAACACAGTAGCATTATAAGTTTTGGAAAATTTTAAGGTTGTTTGGTTTCACTGTTGGTTTTTTCTTTGCTTGTTTGGTCTGGTTTGGTTTGGGAGAGCATGTGTTTGGCGGTGCTGCGGATGGAACCCAAGGCCTCATATATACTAGGTGGGGTGGTTTAAAAGAAGATGACCCCCAAAGGGAGTGGCCCCCAAAGGGAGCGGCACTATTAAGAGCTGTGGCCTTGTTGGAATTGGTGTGACCCTGCTGGGGGAAGTGTGTTTGTGTGTGTGGGGGGGGGGGGGCTTTCAGGTCTCCTATGCTCAAACTATGCCCAGTGTCACAGTTCACTTCCTGTTGCCTATGGATCAAGATGTAGAACTCTTAGCTCCTTCTCCAGCACCATGTCTGCCAGCATGCCACCTTGTCCCACTGTGACAATAATAAACTAAGCCTCTGAAACTGCAAGCAACCCCAAGTAAATGTTTTTTTTTATAAGAGCTGCTGTCGGCCGGGCGGTGGTGGCACAGGCCTTTAATCCCAGCACTCAGGAGGCAGAGGCAGGCAGATCTCTGTGAGTTCGAGGCCAGCCTGGTCTACATGGTCTACAAGGGCTAGTTCCAGGTCAGGCTCTAGAACTACAGCAAAACCCTGTCTTGAAAAACAAACAAAACACACACACACAAAAAGTTGCTGTGGGGCTGGAGAGATGGCTCAGAGGTTAAGAACACTGATTGTTCTTCCAGAGGTCCTGAGTTCAATTCCCAGGAACCACATGGTGGCTCACAACCATCTGTAAAGAAATCTGGTGCCCTCTTCTGGCCTGCAGGCACACATGCAGACAGAACACTGTAAAGAAAGTAAATAAATAAATCTTTAAAAAAAAAAAAAGTTGCTGTGGTCATGGTGTCTCTTCACAGCTATAGACCCTAACTAAGACACTAAGCAAGTAAGTATTCTGGATGCAAAAACAATAGCTTTCATTCCACCAAGTCCTGGCAACTGCCTTTTACCCACACTGCTGGCATGTCCCGTGGTGTCCTCCTAGGTACGGCTCTCTGCCTCTGTGAACAGGGTTGCCACTCAGTGTTACTCTGGGACAGCGGTGCTTTCACTTCTCTATTGTTTCTAGGTGGCGGGTTTTTTGTTTGTTTGTTTTTATTGAGCTGTATATTGCTTGCCATTGTAGATTGCTCTGTTGAGAGTTCTCTGTTTAGATATGTACCCCATTTTTTCCTTTTTTTTATTGATTTTTTATTGAGTTCTACATTTTTCTCTGCTCCCTTCCACCCTTCAAACCCTTCCCCAAGGTCCTCATGCTCCCATGGAGATCTTGTCTTTTTCTACTTTCTACTTCCCATGTAGATTATTAGATCTATGTAAGTCTCTCTTAGTGTCCTCATTGTTGTCTAAGTTCTCTGGGATTGTGATTTGTAGGCTGGTTTTCTTTGCTTTATGTTTAAAAACCACCTATGAGTGAGTACATGTGATAATTGTCTTTCTGTGTCTGGGTTACCTCACTCAAAATAATGTTTTCTAGCTCCATCCACTTTCCTGAAAAATTCAAGATGTCATTATTTTTTTCTGCTGTGTAGTACTCCATTGTGTAAATGGACCACATTTTCCTTATCCATTCTTTGATGGGGGGCATTTAGGTTGTTTCCAGGTTCTGGCTATGACAAACAAAGCTGCTATGAATGTAGTTGAGCACATGTCCTTGTGGCACAATTGAGCATCCTTTGGATATATACCCAAAAGTGGTATTACTGGGTCTTGAGGAAGGTAGTTTCCTAATTTTCTGAGAAATCGCCACACTGACATCCAAAGGGGTTGTACCAGCTTGCATTCCCACCAGCAATGCAGAAGTATTCCCTTTTCCCCACAACCTCTCCAGCATAAGTTGTCATCAGTGTTTTTGATCTTGGCCATTCTTACAGGTGTCAGATGGAATCTCAGAGTTGTTTTGATTTGCATTTCTCTGATGACTAAGGATGCTGAACATTTTCTTAAGTGTCTTTCAGTCATTTTAGATTCCTCTGTTAAGAGTTCTCTGTTTAGGTCTATACTCCATTTTTTTATTGGATTATGTGTTCTTTTGATGACCAATTTCTTGAATTCTTTGTATATTTTGGAGATCAGACCTGTCTGATGTGGGGTTAGTGAAGATCTTTTCCCATTCTGTAGGCTGTCGTTTTGTCTTGTTGACTGTGTCCTTTGCTTTACAGAAGCTTCTCAGTTTCAGGAGGTCCCATTTATTAATTGTTTCTCTCAGTGTCTGTGATGCTGGGGTTATATTTAGGAAGTGGTCTCCTGTGCCAATGTGTT